AATCAATGTTTTCCAGTTTAAACCATTTATTAATGTGAACATTAAAAACAGGTCACCATTTGAGTCCTGCCTGGCACTTCTCAGCGGGCCCCTGGGCAGGTCTCTGTGGCACTGCTGGTGGGCGGGGTCGCCATGCGGGTTCCATCCATCAGCTGCGGGTGGCTGTGCATCAGGCAGGGCTGCTCAGCTGTCCTCAAAGGTGTGAGAAAGCAGCACTTTGCCTGTGCGGACACCTCTCTGCGCCTGCGCACACAGTGGCGACTCCCCCAACAAGGCATCCTTTCCTTCTCTTAAGAGGCCTGTCAGGTAAACAGGAGGGAACGAGGCTTGGCCAAGGTTGCTCAAGGGACCTCGGACCCCAAGTTCTTCTCATCACTGTGTGCCCGGCGGCCTCGTGGGAGCAGGAGGTCAGGGAGCCTGAGCACGTCCCACCACAGTTTTGTGTGTAAGACCTGGCCTGTTTTTTTGTTGTTGCTGTTTATTTTTTGAATATTTGTATCACAGTAAAATATACACAATAAAATTTACCATTTTAACTATTTTTTTATGCACAATTCAGTGCTGTTGAGCTCACAGTGTTGTGTGGTTGTCACCACCATCATCTCCATCACTGCTCCCATCTTCTCCAACTGAAACTCTATCCCCACTAAATAATGCCCCATCCTCCTCCCCCACCCCTGGTGCCCTCCATCTTACCTCTGTCTCTATGACTGACAGCTCCAGAGGCCTCATGTGAGTGGGATCACACAGTATTTGTCTTTCTGTGACTGGCTTGTTTCACTGAGCATCATGTCTTCAGGTTGCAGCATGTATCACATGTCCTTACTTTTTTTAAAAAAAATTGAATTTATTGGGGTGAGATTGGTTAATAAAATTATATAGCTTCCAGGTACACAATTCTATAATACATCATCTGTATATTGTATTGTGTGTTCACCACCCCCAGTCATGTCTCCTTACATCACCATTATCTTTTCTATACCCTCTTCTACCAATACCTTTCCCTGTGGTAATCTCCATACTGCTGTCTGTGTCTATGAGATTTTTTTTTTATTAATATATTTTATTGATTTTTTTTTCAGAGAGGAAAGGAGAGGGAAAGAGAGTTAGAAACATCGATGAGAGAGAAACATCGATCAGCTGCCTCCTGCACACCTCCTACTGGGGATGTGCCCACAACCAAGGTACACGCCCTTGACCAGAATCAAACCTGGGACCTTTTGAGCCAAACCGGTTAGGGCTAGATTATATTATTATATAATGTTATTATATTACTAAATATTATATCAGATAAGATCATGAGGTTGGTGGAGGGAATAACTAAAAAGCCCTTGGCACAGTCGCTGGTACACAGTAGGCTACCAGTACATATTGATCCTTCTATATCAGCGGTTCTCAACCTGTGGGTCGTGACCCCTTTGGCGGTCGAACGACCCTTTCACAGGGGTCGCCTAAGACCATCCTGCAGATCAGATATTTACATTATGATTCATAACAGTAGCAACATTCCAGTTATGAAGTAGCAACGAAAATAATTTGATGGTTGGGTCACAACATGAGGAACTGTATTTAAAGGGCCAGAAGGTTGAGAACCACTGCTCTATTTCTTAGTGGACATGATGGCAATTAGCAGCAGTTTTTCCTGTTACTGAGATAAAAAACCAAAAAGTTTCCATGTGATCCAATAAAAGAGAGGAAATAAGGGGACATATGTAATACTTTCAACAATAAAGATTTAAAGCCCTAGCTGGTGTTGCTCAGTGGATAGAGCATCTTCCTGTGATCTGAAGGGTTGCAGGTTCGATTCCGGTCAAGGGCACATGCCTGGGTTTGGGGATTGATCCCGAGTAGGGGTGTGAAGGAGGCAGCCGATCCATGATTCTCTCTCATCATGGATGTTTCTATCTCTCTCCCCCTCTCCCTTCCTCTCTGAAATCAAGAAAAATCTATTTACAAAATAAGATAAATAAGTAAAACCTGTGAGATGTAGGTGGCCTGTGTAACTCTTGCTGTTTCTCCCCTGGGTCTGCAGGGTGACTTCACCTGGAACAGCATGTCGGGCCGCAGCGTTCGGCTAAGGTCAGTTCCCATCCAGAGCCTCTCCGAGCTGGAGCGAGCCAGGTTGCAGGAAGTGGCTTTTTATCAGTTGCAGCAGGACTGTGACCTGAGCTGTCAGATCACCATTCCCAAAGGTAAGGCCCTGTCTGTTCTTCCATCCGGGACACTGCGAGTCCAACATCCGCTCTGCCAGAGCCACAGGGTGCAAAGTCAGCTCACAGCTGTTGTCACACAGGAAGGAAACCGCAGCTTCTTAGTCCTTGGCTGGCATTCGTGTCCATGTTAAAAGCCATGTTCAAGAGGGGCAATTTACAAGGCAACTAATATGTTGACTTAAAGGGAAGGTCAACATGGGGCATTAGAAAGAAAAGCTGTGGCCTGGCCGGCGTAGTTCAGTGATTGAATGTTGACCTATGGACCAGGAGGTCATGGTTCGATTACCGGTCAGGGCACGTGCCCAGGTTGTAGGCTCCATCCCCAGTCAGGGGCGTTCTCTCATCATTGATGTTTCTATCTCTCTCTCCCTGTCCCTTCCTCTCTGAAATCAATAAAAATATTTTTCTTAAAAAAAGGAAAGCCGTGCATATCTCAACAGTCCACATGGCTTCAGAATAAGCAATTAGAAGTTTCAGAAAGGTCTGCTTAAAGGGTTAGATGGTTCTCAACCTTCTGGCCCTTTAATACAGTTCCTCATGTTGTGACCCAACCATAAAATTATTTTCGTTGCTACTTCATAACTGTTATGCAGGATGTATTTAGGCGACCCCTGTGAAAGGGTCGTTTGACCCCCCCCCCCCAAAAGGGATCTCGACCCACAGGTTGAGAACCGCTGAATTAGAAGTTTCAGAAAGGTCCGCTTAAAGGGTTAGAAGAAAAATCATGTCTATCTCAACATGATTTCAAAATAACCAGCTGAAAAGAATGTTTTAACAATCTATTGAACTTGTCGTCTGACCTTGTGCAAACCCCGAATCAGGGATTATGCCAACGTTCACTCATGTTTATCCAGTCCTTCACTGGGCAGGTCTGTGTTGGGGTTCACAGCTGTGACACTGGAGCAAGGTCGGGCTTGGTTGTATGATGTTCTTACAAATACAGATCCTGATTCTGGTAAAGAGGAAAAAGCATATATTTGAAATCCTTTCATCTATAAAAGTCTGTACTGAATGTTTACTATCCTCTATAAGGCTACTTTACGATTTATAATAGTGTATAGTAGAAATTTAATCTGAGGTAGAATGAAAAGCTGTGGTGTTACACAAATAGAGTAAACCCATCATAACAAGCAACATTGGCTGGGTGCCTGAAATTTAAAGGGACAACAAGCATCTAAAAGCTACAAGATGGCTTTGGAGGATTTCAGTGTCTTCAGAAATTCTACTTTGTTTTCTTTTACTAGGGCTTGAGGGGATGAATCATGAATATTTATTTATAAAATAATTCATATCAGAGAGAGAGAGAGAGAGAGAGAGAGATCTGGCAAAACGTAGTTGACACAGCTTGGAGAAGGATGCCACTGACATGTACTGGGTAGAAGCCAGGATGCTGTCGAACATCCTACAGTACACAGGCCAGTCCCCCACCACAAGCACTGTCAGGCCCCAAGTGCCAAGTGCAGTTGTTGAGCAGCCTGGCTATATACAGGGATATGTACTTACAGTCTGTCAGTAACCATGCTGGCAGCCCTAGCCAGTGTGGCTCAGTGGGTAGAGCGTTGACCTTTGGACTGAAGGGTCCTGGGTTCAATTCTGGTCAAGGGCACATGCCTGGGTTGTGGGCTCAATCCTCAGTGGGGGGCCTGCAGGAGGCCGCGGATCAATGGTTCTCTCTCATCATTGATGCTTCTCTCTCTCCCTCTCCCTTCCTCTCTGAAATCAGTAACAATGTATTTTAAAAAATAACCAAGCTGGCAGTATGGTTTTCTTGGCTCATCTGTGGCTCACGAAAAGGGCACTGGCTTAGACATCTTAAAAACAGGATTTGAGGGTTGTCCCCTCATCCAACTGTGAGCTTGGTCAGTGCACCTCTGCAGTAAAAGGCTCCGTTTTGTTGACTAGAACCGTGGTCGGCAAACTGCGGCTCGCGAGCCACATGCGGCTCTTTGGCCCCTTGAGTGTGGCTCTTCCACAAAATACCACAAAATACCACATGCGGGCGCACATGTACAGTCGGTATTTTGTGGAAGAGCCACACTCAAGGGGCCAAAGAGCTGCATGTGGCTCGCGAGCCGCAGTTTGCCGACCACTGGACTAGAAAGAGTCGCACAGAAACACTGACCCCACAGTTTTCACTGGATGGGGACTCCTACGGCCACTTTTATTCTTCAAGCTGGAATCGGGGACTCCGCTGGAGGTCTGAGAGTTCAGGAGGAGGAGGAGGTAGATGAGGGCAAGGTGCTGGGGGGCGCACATCTCACGGACTCCCGCCCTGCCCCCTGGGCTTCCCCGGCACGTGCTGCTTGCCACCGCAACCACAGCCAGCTCCTTCCAGGAGGAACCCCTGCCCCTGTTAGATCTTTTCATGTTCATCTAACACGAAGAGATCCTCAGCTCAATGAAGAAATAAAGCACTTGGACAATTGATGGCAAATGAGTACTCATCACTGTCAGGATGGTTACTGCTTCTCCCGAGGGCAGACGCATCCTGCCTTGGTTGGTGGCAGGTGGAAATGAGGCCTGTCTTCTCCTCCCCGTTAACTCACAAGGTGGCCCAAGTGGGGCCTGAGAGTCCTAAAGGCTGTCCCAAAATTCACGCAAGATTTGAATTTTGCATGAGCATTAACAACAACAACAAAAAATAAATGCCGAATTTTACTTGGTTTATTGAATCAGATTCTAATATCTGTTGCCCTTTGATGTCAATCCCTTCAATTTGATAAGCATTACCAAGTTCCAATGATGGCCCAGGAGCAGGGACAATGAAGAACAATGAGGACCACGGCTTTGTGTATGTGCCAGCAAAGCCGTGGAGGCCATTGACCCGAAGTGCTATTCCATACATAACCCTATACTGTCTGATTTATGAATCAATAAAAAATTTACAATTTTAATTATAAACCTGTGTTTTCTATCACAATTACTTCTTGCGTGAATTTTGGGACACCCTTTAGCTCCCCTTCACAAGCACAGATGTTCTTTCAGTTCCTTTAAAAAAAAAAAAGAAAGAAACAAAGAAAAAAATGTTGTTGGCAAACACAATTTGTAGTGGAGGGAATGATGACTCTACAAAGTTATGTGAAACCTACATTGGATGCACACCAGATAAGATATCAGGGAACAAGTATTATTTGTAGCTTTATTTTTAAACCCAGTTAATTTGGCATTCCTCTTTGTCCCTGCTTTTAAAGAGTCTACTAAATAAATAACCTTTACCAAACAGACAACTTTATTAAACGTGTCTGCTTGAAGTTCTATCCGCATTGCTCATTTCTGAGATTATGTACTTCACATTCAGGAAAAGATTCACTCTATCCAGATGCCCAAAAATGTTCATGCTATAGCTCCTATAGAAACCACACACACACACACACACACACACAAAATTACTTCCCATTTTTATAGTTTTCTATCAAAATGAGAGCTAATGTGTTTGGGGGTTTTTTTGTGGTTTTTAACAATATTTTTATGGATTTCAGAGAGGAAGGGAGAGGGAGAGAGAGAGAAATATCAATGATGAGAGAGAACCATGGATCGGCTGCCTCCTGCACACCCCCTACTGGGGATGGAGTCTGCAACCCGGGCATGTGCCCTTGACTAGAATTGAACCCGGGACCCTTCAGTCTGCAGGCCGAAGCTCTATCCACTGAGCCAAACCAGCCAGGGCGGGAACTAATGTTGTATAAATATTTTCTTATGGAGGAGAAAAGGGGTTGTGTGGTGGGATGGAAATGAACAGACGTCACCTGGGATTACTGAGGCTGTTGTTTTGCGCAAATGATTCTAGACATTATTTACCAAGAGCCTCCAAATGCATGGAGTGGTATGATGGCACCTTTGACTGGAGGGTGGCCACTTGGTTCCATGCAAACCCCCAAGTGGAAGTTCTAAGTAGGGTCAGATTCACTGTGTGAATTATTTACTCAGGAAAATAAATACAGTGGAGCTTGCCCTGACCGGTGTGCCTCGGTGGATAGAGCGTCGGCCCGCGGACTGAAGGGTCCCGGGTTCGATTCCGGTCAAGGGCATGTACCTTGGTTGCGGGCACATCCCCAGTGGAAGGTGTGCAGGAGGCGGCTGATCGATGTTTCTCTCTCATCGATGTTTCTAACTCTCTATCCCTCTCCCTTCCTCTCTGTAAAAAATCAATAAAATATATTTTTAAATACACTGGACCTAGAACCGAAAGAAATGATACCAAGGCCAATGAGACAACGGGTATAATGAAAATGGAAATATACCTAAGCTCACATTTCAGCTCTTTGCCACTTTAGGATGAGTATAGGGCAGTGATGGCGAACCTATGACATGCGTGTCAGAGGTGACATGCGAACTCATTTTTTCGGTTGATTTTTCTTTGTTAAATGGCATTTAAATATCTAAAATAAATATCAAAAATATAAGTCTTTGTTTTACTATGGTTGCAAATATCAAACAATTTCTATATGTGACACAGCACCAGAGTTATGTTAGGGTTTTTCAAAATGCTGACACGCCGAGCTCAAAAGGTTCGCCATCACTGGTCTAGGGATTTGTTTACGGGTATCTGTTTGAAGAACCTCCTCCCTCCGTAAGACTGGTGTCCCCAGCGCTCAGATAAATGATATTCTAATATGTTCACCAGCTTCTGGGTTTCACCATAGAGAGGGAGGAATAGGAGGTGGAGGGATTGGGGAATGACTGGGGTGATTGCCTAGCTTGGACTGCAGGGGTGGGATCCAGAGCACAAGTAGGGACTTTGACTTCCTCTCAAGCTATAGTGATAGGTGCACATCAGTTATATGGTACCGATGCAAGGAAATGAGAAGATGGGAGTATAATTTCACTCCAGATTGCCTCTCCGCTCTCGGTGAAGTAGGAAGCAATTTCACCTGCTAGCAGTGAGGATGGACAGGAGGTACTGGAGGTTTGAGGAAAGAGAGGAAGAGGGGAACCGATGGGCCAGGATGTTGCAGGGTTGCAGGGCGGTCCAAAAGGCC